GCCCAGAGGGCTGCAGCAGGGACAGAAATAGCCCCAACTTTCCAGGGAGGGAGGTTTTTATTGGTCTTCAGTGTGTTCTGGTCCTCTCACAGCCACCACTGGTCCACAGAGCCTGCAGGCTTCATGGAGAGCCAGGACCAATCCCCCTGGTGGGGCAGGAGTCAGAGCATTGCAGGAGGTATGGGAAGGCTCAGAGAAAGAGGATCACTGAGGACCCAGAAGGGGGAAGGAAGGAAAGAGGAAAGAGGAGAGGAGCAGGAGGGCTGGAATCCCAGGGGAACTGGGCGGAGAGTAAGGGGGGGCCTCCATTTTTGGTCTTTGACATCGCTGCTAATCAATAGATGACCAGAAGGCCAAGCCAAGAGCAAGAGCCTTTGGCCAACGCCCAGTCTAGGGTGTGAGAAGATCAGAGCAGCCAAGCCGGCAGGAGGATGTGAGCCAACGTCCAGGCCCCTTCCATCTCAGGCCTTCTGACAACAGCCTTCCCCACACCACCGGATGGAAGAGAGGACGGATACGGGAGCCCAAAGAATCCCAGAGTCTAATTTTAGCCCAGCACTCCCGCCTCCCCTGCCCACAGAGCCTGGGAGGGTGGAAGCTTCACAACCCCTGCCTGGCCTTCTGCTTTAACGGAGGTGCCAACGGGCAGGCAGCACTACCTCAAAGCTGCTGGGGTCTCTGCAGGTGAGGCCCCCAAGCTCCCATAGGGCAGGGGATCTGCTGGGCTGGAGGAGCCAAGGTCAGAGGTGAGGCCTGTTAATGACGCCACTGAGATTAGATTATGTGGGTTTGTGTGCTGGTTCTGGATGACCTCAGTCAAGCCCTCCCTCTGCCTCATTTTCCTTGCCTGTGAAATGGGGATGAGACATCTATTTCAGAGGATACATGTCAGGCACTAGGCTCTAATAGTTTAGAGCTTTTATAGCACATCTCAGGGGGACTCAAACTGATCTGTTACTCCAGCCCTGGTGCACAACTCTGCGCTAAGGCACAAAAGTGAGGAAAACACAGCTGGATCCCACCTAGGCCTCTGAAGCTAAGAACAACTGATTAACTGCAGGAAACTTCATGTCTGGGCCCTCCAGGGAGCTGGGGCAGGGGAGGAGGGCAGAGACAGAGCCCCAAGCTGGGAACCCTGGGGACCACAAAGGCAATCCCCTGTGGGCAGGCAAGGACACCAAGACTCAGAGAGGGAGAGGGGAAGGACATGAACGATGAACTCCCCACCTTCCCCTGCCCTGTCACCCTGTGAGCAGAAGGCCTGGCCCATACTAAAAAAGTGAAAAGTTGCCCAGAACCAATTCCAGCTGAGCAGACACGTCCCCAGCCAGCAGCAGCTGCACTGGCAGGTAGTTGGGGGCAAGGTCTCACCCCACCCCCACCAGTACCCCTCACACACACATGAAGGGTAGGTAGGGATCATGCAGAGCATGGGCTGGGGGTGAAGGCCTCATGAGCCTCTCTCCACTTTGAGTCCAATGGCAGGCCACCAGGTGCCCTCCTGCCACAGGTCCCTTCTGAGCAGGGGTCAGAAGTCCCTCCCATCACAGTGCTCCAAAGAGGAGTTCTTAGTGGCTGTCTCACAGCACAGGCTGCTTTCAAGGGTATCCCCTGCTAAGAACTTGGATTCTCACAGAGCAGGTGCAGCTGGAGGGGTCTCTTCTGCCCAGCCCTTTTTTAACTGTCTTCTGCATCAGGGCTTCCCTTCAGGCACATATGTCATCTCCAGAAGGTCAATGTGCCTGGCCAAGACAGCTCACATCTACCTGGTGACTTGCCAAGCACCCCTCCTAACCTCCTCTCCTCCTCACCACAGGTGATTTGCCAGGATTCCTCCTGGAGGAAGAGGGGGGCTGTGCCCACTCCACTCTGCCATTCTGACCCTCACTCACCAACCCAGTAACCTTCAGAAGACTTCAGGTGGAACTGAAAGCAGGTCCTGCTCAGAGAGAACTACAGGAATGGGGTGTGGGAAGAGGAGACAGCTGGACC